GGAGAATGTGGCCCATCAAGCTGTGGCACAAACGTGCCTCGAGCCCTGCGCGCAACTTTTCTTTCTCCGTCTGGCAGCGATGTTTCTGATCCCCAGCTCCCGCTTTCGAAGCTGACGAGCAGCAGCAGCTCTCGGCCGAGGCAGACTTGGGAAATGACTAATTAACTGGCGATTGCAGGATTGCTTCCTGACCTGGCTCTCGGACCACAGGGGTGAAGCTCCATAAAGACGGAGTGAACGCAGGAAGCGGGCCTGCATGTTTCCACAATGGGGGCATTCTGGAGCCGTGCCCCGGAGGCTGCCGGGGACCTGGCCGAATGGACCCGATGCCACCGGGAACCCAGTACCTGCTAGTTCAAAGCGAGCCTGAATGCGGGGTTTAATCCCTTCTGACAATCGTCAAGAGGAAATGGCCTTTCCTCTGACCTTATCGTTGTAAACAGCAGCTAGTCATCAGGTTTGTCCTGCTGAGGGAATAGTCAAAGTCTACGCAAGGATTTTACTTCAGATTTTTTTTTTTCTTCTTCTCTGATTACAATGGTTTAATTCTCTAGACTTGAAATGCATTCTCACCCCTTAATATACTGGCTTCAGGTACATTCTTTCCTAATTATTGAGTCCATACAGCTCGGCCTGGTTCAAATTAGCTTCTCAGAGCTGTGGGCAGATGTCCTGTGGCCAGTTTCGGTCCTCAGCCCTGTGGTTGTTTTTGTGATGGCTGTTGTGAGCTGCCTTTTGGATACACCAGTATCCCCAGAACTGGGTGTGAGACAAGCTGACAAACTCTCCTAGCATGGCAGAGGATCACTAAGAGCTACTTTCAGCAGGCCAGCAGGCAGGATGGAGGACTTGCTGCTGGGCACCATTAGCGTGGCAGTTTTAATGCGATGGAAGGATGCATACAGTGCTGGAACTGCAGCAGTGGGTGGGTTTAACTCTGTAGTTTGGCATGGCTTTTAGTGCGAAGACAAACCGATGACAGAGGAAACGAGACAGTGGCTTTTGCTGCTCGCAGAGCTCGAGCCAACTGTCTGTAACCAGTGGGACAGAGTGACGATGCAGACGAGGGCTGACCTGCTGTACTGACAATTTCAGGGTGATGAAACCCACTTTCCCCCAGATCTGTGCAGGACTCGGCCGCTGACAGGCCCCCAGCATTGAGAAGGCATCGCTGTGCCCACCTGAGAGCAGCCCTGCCCAGCTGCTGCTCATCAGGTGCTCAGGGGTGTACCAGAGGTCGGCTGTCAGCCCTGCTGAAAGGGAGCTCGCAGAGCTCTGGGGAGGGCACTGCTGTGCCTGGTCGTAGGCCTTGGCAGGGTGTAGGAGGTTGCTGATGGCCTTGTACGAATGGCTTTTTAATTCCAGCGGGGTTTATGGGTAGCACTCACGTGTCTGCTCTTTGGTGCCCCGCGCTAAGTCAGACAGCAAGCCAGAAGAGATTTCTCCCTTGTATCGCACAGCCTGGCTGATTACTGCAAACTGAGGGCTGGGCTGCAGGAGTCAGCGTGCCAGAGCCGTCTGGAAGTCACAGCTTTTTCACTGCAGCAAAGGAACATTTCTTCCCTAGGTAAAGACAATGAACTGTCATTTTTTATTGTTGTCCTGGTTGACCCAGCTTAACATCTGCTTCTCTAGCTTGTCAGGGTTCTTACTACGTGCTTTGACATGAGAAGTGCATTGTGTTTTCAGTGGGCTGAAATTCCCTGTATGTTAGTCCATGTTTCTGGTGAAAAGCCTATAAGGGTCTGCAAACGAGTGGAGGTTAAAAGCCACTTTCCCTGGTTTTGTAGGAATGTCTGAGTGGGCTGTGGCAGGCTGAGGTGGATCCTTACAGAAAGGATGGCTGTTTTTCAGCATTATGTACTACCTGTGGTAAGTTTGGGCTGTGTTTTGTTTAGCGTATCTGTGAGCAAAGAGAAAAGCCTGAACGCTGGGGGGAGCGGTCTCTGAACACCGCACACATCCATCGTCTGCCGAGGGGGTGGTCGAGGTCAGGGTCGCAAGGGGCGAAGGAAACAGGCTTGGATCTGCTGTCTCTGGCACCCACACGTGCTGTGGCCATGACAGACTGCACCTAAGGGGATGGGTTTCTCTGATGTTCACTAAGGATCTACGGCTGTGCGTGAAAGAGGGTGTTATAGTAAGTATTTGCAGTCTCTCCTGTAACCACGTGGAATTGTTTTGCTTGATCCATACAAAAATGAGTTGGATCACTTTGGGTTTCATTTAGAAAACAGCTATACAAGGCTGTGGCCCACGTGTGCCAGTGGGACCGAGACATGAGTAAGTGGGAAGGATCTCAAGAAGCTCTGACGTGGTGTGCCTGGCAGGGTTTCCTTTGCACCCACCCTTGGGGCAAGGTCGTGCAATTTGGCTGCCTGGAGATGTGGTCACGGGTACCATGTGTGCCCTACACCTTGCAGGGCACCGGCAGGTCGGGGCGGCAGTACCCCCCTCCCAGCTGCCTGGTGTGTGCTGTCTGCATCGTCCGTGCACCGCCTGCCCGCAGTGGGGTCACATTGTCAGAGGACCGAAAGGAAGGGTCCTAGAGGAAGTATTCCCTTTTCAGCTGGGGATAACGCAGTGTTTCCTGAAAGAAATTCTCTCTTTCCACCTCGCCCTTTCTCCCCTCTGAGATTTACTTGTTTTTGTCTTTGCAGGTGATAGCTCTTTGCCTTGTTGTGGTATTACCTGTGCTAAGGAGAGCCATAAAAACCTCAAGCGCTTACTGATTCAGTAGTGGGAGCCATTTCAACAGCGATAAAATGCTGTTTCTCCCTCAGTTATGGAATACCTACCACATTTTCTCTTCCCACCCTGAGGTTCCCTTTAAGACTTTTTGAATTATTTCCTCCACTTCATAGAGCTGTAACAAAGGACGGGTGGCTGGATCACCGTGCCAGCTTTACCCGAGGAAAAGGGGCCACAGCGCGGCTGAAAGGGCACTTGTCAGCAGGCTGCTAATTGTGTGTGTCCATCAGCAGGTTGTCCTTCTGCCGGAGAATGTTATCTGGAGATGAATCCATAGGCAGCACAGAAGGGGCTTGTTGAGGGAGGCAGAGCAGGGAGCTGTCGAGCGCTGCGACTTACGGGGTCGGTGTCTTCGCAGCAGGTGCAGGAGGGAAAGCAGAGCCCTAGCTGCGTGAGAACCGCTTTGCCTTGCAGCCATTGTGTTAAAAGGGAGTGTGCTTTGCTTTTCTTTCTCATAAGGGACCACTTGTGTTGCGTTTTGCGCCGCCTTGCAACATTTCGGGAAGTCTCCAGTCACTGGTTAGCGTTCTGCGGTGAGCGGCGGCTGCTGCTCCTGCTTGTTTTGACCCGTGCATGTTACCCTGTGACACTGCAAATGCACTGTTTGTAAGGAAGAGCAAACTTCTTGTTTCGGAGCCTAGTGATACCGTAATGCACTATCCTGGCAGTTTTTGTACCTGAGGCTTTTTCCCCTCCCCCATATAGGATCAGCGCACTTTACAACGTGACCTCTGGAAGTGTCTAAATATTCTTGTACAGTTCAGATGTTCCCTGTGGCCTGGCTTGGAAGCTTTTCACTGGGGCCAGGGAAAAGGGCAGCTACTTAGATATTCACACGTGGTTACGCTTTCTTCTGATCTACTGAGAAATAATCGCAATCACTTCCAGATTGTTTCTTTGATTTAAATAAAGTGTCGCCCGAGCTGACAAGGTCTTGTTCTCAATATGGTATATATTGTAATTAGGAGGTATATTGCTATCAGCACCCTGAGACCCCAGGAGAACATGAGCTGAAGATTTTGCTTGTCTGCCCTCACTGAATGTATATGAAAGTCTCATGAATATTTTTGAAGCAGGTCAAATACTTGCCATTGCAAATCTATAGAGGCCTTAATGAAAGCAATCCTTTGAGCAGGAGTGAAGGTGGATTTCTCCTTCTTTACAAGAAGGCTCAAGGAGTTCTGGAATAATTTTCAAGCAGTAGGTAATGTCTGTGGAGTGAGTTTTCACTTGGAAGTTAGAGAGGGGAGGTTCCTGATCTTCATTTGGCTGCAGGCGGGCACTTAGCACATGTCTGGGAGCAGTGGAGGAGCCAGGCAGGACTGTGGGACGGCAGTGATATACTCGATATGGAAATCGAGACGCTTCCCGAAAGCAAGTTTGCTGATTATATGGCAGCGAACAACTTGATGTTAAGGAGACTTGGGGTATGGTAGAATCCCCTTCTTTAGTAACTGTAATTATTATTATTATTTAAAGGCATTTACATTGTTAAATGAACACCTCACAAATAACATTACCCAGCAAAATGTCACACGTGACGCTGTTGGGAGGTAGGGGAAACAGTGAAACGGAGCAGTGTGACACCCCCCTTGATGCCTCCAGAGTGAGGCAGAGGAAACCCCAACACTGCTGGAATTCGGCTTTCAGGCAAAACGGCTCATGGGATCCTCTTTAACCTGGCCAGGCAACAGGGGTGTGCCTGAACCCTCGAAGGAGAAGGCTGGGTGGAGGAGCAGG